CGTATTCCCTGAGGATAAGGGGGGAGTACTATATCCAGCCCCAAATGCCAATACCACTGAGATAAGCCAAGGAGACAAAGAAACAAGCGCGACCAATAAGCTGTTCTGTATTAGAAGTAAACAGGAACTAGTAAAAAAAAAAAAAAAAAAAAAAGAACTAGAATTGAATCTCCAACTTTTATGAGCTGAACAACCTGAGAAAATCACAACCTCTTTGAGCTTTAATTATACATACATACACAAACATACACACACACACAGACACACAGGAAGATAACACGGATGTGTTTTATAAGTCCCTTTGGGTCTGTAGAGAATGTGACTTGTATTTAATCTTCAGGTTGATGACTTAACATCCCTTTTTTAATAAAGATAACAATCTTGAGCCTTCTTTTAATGTTATTTGAAAATTTTTAAATATATTAAGTATCACAGTTAAAAACAAATCAAAGTTCCCCCACCCCCATTACTATTTGAAATCACTGCTTTAGTCTGACCACTTAAATCATTCTGTGATGACAACTCTAGGCCCTCGTGGTAAATCTTGCTGGCCCAATCTTTCTTCCTTTGAAGAAAATAAAGACTTGGAAATATACAATCCAATCAAAGGCAGAGTCCCCCTACCACAACAAAATAAGCAACTTTGCTTAAGCAAAAATTACTACTTATTCCCAGAGTAAAAGGCTCTACTCAGAATACCTCAAGCAGCTCCAGAAAAACGCAAATTAGAAGACCCAAGTTCTTATCCCTATTCTGTTGCTAGATAACATTGGCTAAGCTGTACAATAGCCCCTATTGTGAAATAAGAATGTTCTCTTTAGTAAATTATTTTAAGATCCCTTTGTAAATACAGGAGTCTGACAGACCTAGAAACAAACTCCCAGTCTTACAGAAGAATGAATGTTTCCCAAAGCAGCAATGTCACACCTGATGGCCAGCTTTGCCTGCATAATTCCCCAAAGCCTAGTTTACCCATCATATAATTGAGCTACCTGGTTCCACAGTTTTAGAAACCTGAGGACTAGCGGATTGTTTCTATGGGTAAATGCATCTGAATTCCAAACACAAAATGTCAAACTCTCTACCGCAAGTGGAGTGTCTACTGCAACTTTAAAATCAGGCTTGATTCTTCAGTTTCCAAAAGATAAACACGAAGCATTATATAATCTAACATAAAAATAACCAATACCATGGAATTTTACATCTAGAAGGGATGTTAGAGATGATCTGGAACAACCTTTTAATTTTAATGTTAATTCTACATAGCAGGAGTGACTAATATATACAGTGTTTCTACTTTGGGTTCCCTCAATTGAGAAAATAAAAATCCAGACACTGTTAAAGACCATCAGGTATGCACATGCCCTTTTTAAAATACAGGTCCTTTGGGCAAGGATTTTTTTTTTCTTCACTTAGAATTAAGACTTCAACCATTCTAAATGGAAATGCGAGCATATTTTAAAACCTTCTTTTGAGTTAATCTTCTCTCTCAGTTCTTCCACCAATGCCACCACCTTAAATACTTCTGATTGCTAAGGAATTCCAACACATTTCAATGAGACAGCCCATGCACACAAATCCCAAATGAGAACATATGCTCCAGCACTTGGTGCTTGAGCACTCTAGGCAACTCACCTAGTGCTTCCAAGCCCCGGTTTCTTCATTTATAAAATGGAGAAACCCTGACTCCACGAATTCACAAGGATACAAGAACCAAACTAAATTATGTGAAAACATGTTTGGGAAGATTATTGATATACATATAAATGCTTATTATAAGATCTCCAAATTCCCACATTTCACTAGAAGAAAAAAATTTGCTCCAAATGTTCAGGTGTAGAACCGAAATGGCTTACAGTTGCTAAGTTAGCGTTACATACATTAAAACCAAATGGGATTTTTCTATCTAAAGTTCCTTCTAGGAAAATAGAGTAAGATGTTAAAACTTAGGTATCAACATTTTAATATTTCCACAGGTGGAGCACATACTTTCACCACATCCCTCCTGAAGGCAGGAATAGTCTCTTAGTAGTCCTTTCAGCTGCAGTTACTGGCACAGAGACTAGCTCTGTTCTTAATATCAGAATACACTTTTCCAGGATAAAAGTAAAATGTTCATATATACGTATGTGGGGTGGAAAGAGGTCTGGCCTGGGGGTACCGACACTTGATCTCACACCACACACAGCCTTGCATAAGCATTCTGAGCCTTCATTTCCCTTTAAAAGTCTACACTGGTAATGTCCCTTTTATCTGATGTCAGACATCCACCCAGAATACTGCACATAAAGCCTTTGAGTGACAAAATGAAAAAAGCTTCTCACAAAGTCCACACTTTATCCATAGTAGAGGCCTACTGATTTTTATTTCATGTATACTTATAATAGTAAACTTGGTTACTTGGTTATGAGATATTTCCCATTGTTGTTAAAAGCAGTACTTTTTAAATTTTTTTGGCTGCACCACGCAGCATATGGGATCTTAGTTCCCCGACCAGGGATCGAACCCGTGCCCCCTGCATTGGAAGCGTGGAGTCTTAACCACTGGACCACCAGGGAAGTCCCCAAAAGCAGTAAAATAGATCAGATGTCGAAGGAAAGAAACTGGAGAAACCCTAAATGTTCTTCTTCCTGATGCATGGGAAGAAACCAAACCTTCCCAAAAAGGTAAATTAGATTCAATCCAAAATCATATATTGTTTAACATCACTGAACACTTCAAAGTCATTCATTATGGTAGTCCATCTTTTATGCCAAAATTAGACTCAATTTGTGATGAATTTAATTCAATCTTTAATTATGATAAAACAGAATCAATGCTCAGCAAATACTGTAGCACATTCTAACGCTATCCGTGGTTACCCAAATCATTAACCTGGGAAGAAATGGTAAAAGCCCTCTTTCATAGTTCACTTTTCCTTACTCAAGTAATCTCTTCACTAACTGCTTCTATTTTATTTTTCACTACATAATATTAACGGAATCACAAAGGAAAGGCCATCTAATTTTAAGCAACACAAAAGTTATCAAAGAAGCATTTTACATATAGAAATAAAGTGGATTATTTTATTTTACAGAATTCATTTTATTCCCAATGATGCTAATATATTTTAAAGAAGTACAGTGTTACTATTCCCCAACTATAGGTAATCAGCTCCTTCAAGGAAGTGACCGTGTCTGCCAATTCTGATCCTTAAAGCACGTGATAACCAAAGGAAAACTTAACAAATATTTCTGAGATTGGCTTTGAAAGGACTTTTATATATCAGTAATGGAAATCCAAATGCATATAATTCCTTTGGAAAGTTAAATACATCAGGATCTTAAGAATTCTGAGCAAATTCTGATATGTTCTCTAGATGTAATACATGATGGAAACTAATTTACTGTGTAATGGTAGATGAAAAAATCAGATAAAAATAATTTATGAAATATATGTAAAAGTATATTTTACATAAATATATGTATTTACACAAATCATACACCTTAAATGTGTTATAAATATATAATTTTATACATCTATATTTAATATTTCAGGTACAATATTTTGAATTTTTATATATAAAATGTTAAAAATATTACATGTTACATATAAAATATAAAAATTATATATGAAATGTAATTATCAATTTTTTAAAACCTGTGCATTGGGAACAAAACTGGAAGGAAATGCACAGAAATGTTAACACAGTATTTGTGTTTGGGTGATGAGACCTTGGCTGACATTTTCTTTTCTACATGTGCTAAATCTTACTTAATGGACTATGCACTACTTTTAGAATAAAACAATTTTCAAAAAGAAAAGAAAGGAAAAAATGGGAAGGAGCACTGAAGAGAGATAAGGAAATGGCATAATTAGCGCAGTTAGTTACCATTTAGCGTTATAATTAAGGAACTTTTTATGTGATCACAAATGATAACTAAGTTACAGAACATTTGTGCTGGAGTGACATCCTGCCTAATTCTGTCATTTGACAGGTACTACAGGAAGAAGTTACAGTTTATATGATGCTTTACACTTTACAAAATGCTTTCAAAATGTCACATCACTGGTCCTTCAAAGAATCCTGTGAGATAGATTCATATGCCCCATTTTCAGGATCAGGAAACTGAGGGCTAGAGAGAGAATGTGCTTTAATAATAATATCTACCATTTACCAAAAGATTACTCTGGGTTAAGCACAAAATCCTGTGAAAATTATCACCACTTTACAAAGAAAACTGAAGGGCATAGGTTACAGCTGAGAGTCACTGTTCTTACTCGAAGCCACGCATTTAAAACAGGAGTCTTGAATTATATAATCAACTTCGTGGAGTTAGTTAGTGGAAGAGTTGAGCCTATGCCCCTAGCCCTATGGTTTCTCTACTACACTGGTCTCCCCTCCTCGCCTACGGTTCTTTCAAGAGTGACTTAGTTTGACAACCACTATGAAGGTCCAGAGGCAAAAGGACTAGGCCCAGTAATAACCAAAAACTAATGTTGGCGGAGGGCCTAGCCTCAGGAGGAAGGCAAGGCACTGAATAACTGCAGAGTGCAGGGGGCAAGTCGAACAAGTCTTAAAATACACATCAAGGGGTCGCCAGAGGAAACACTCTCTACCTCAGGTGCAGGGATGGCAACATAAATCACGATTCCTGCACCTGACACTCGCGTTCCTCGGTACCATTCCCAGAGCGCCTTTCCGGTTCACCTCAAAGGTTGCCCGCAACAACCCCTGGGCTGGGGTCCTACTTTACAGAAAAAGCTGGAAGAAACGACATGGTGGGCCGGGCAGGCAGAGAAACAACGAGTGCAGGAGCTAATGGTGGACACCTGGCGGACTGGGCACCTCGACCACGTCTGAAGGACACCAGAGGAGTCTCGGGCCACCACCAAGGGGAGCAAGAGGCCAGGGCCCACGGCGGCGACAGAGGCCCCGAGGGAGGCCGCGGTGCTGGGACTGTCGCCAGCCGAGGCTTGGCGCGGGGCTTGGAAATCGGCCCAGGTGCCTCACTACTCACGCTGGACTAGCCGGTCTGCGGAAAAGGTGGATGAGCAGCTGGTGACTAGCGCACTGGGGACACCCGCAGCCATCTCTGCGCCAGCGAACAGGTTCTGTCCAAGAGTCCCTTCCGCCTTGGGCGATACCACGGCCGCCGGCACGCGGGGGAGACGAGCAAATGAAGGCGCATTCTCAGAAGGCACGGCCGGCCCTGCCTCCTCCTCCAGCCCCTCTTCCGCTGCCGGCGTGGACCAGGCCGGGCTGCGCGTGGCGTTGCCATGGGGATGAGCTCCCTCCGCAGCAGGTTCCGGCGCCTGGAGATCTCGCCTCCTCTGGGAGGCAGCCCCGCCCGGCTGTAGGCATGGCCGAGGAGACGGAAAACTACGACCCCATCGGATCCATATTAATCCAGGTGGGAAATGGGCCTCACCGTCCCTTCCCAGCTAAGACCCTTCGAGCGAGGCCCAGCAGCGCCCATCCACTCACGCCCGCCCATCCACTCACGCCCACCCTCTTGGAGCGCCGCTCCCACACTGCCTCCAACACACGAGGGGCAGCACCGCTTAGAGAACTCCCAGATATGCCAACCCAGACCTCTCCCGCCAAGCTCACACACCTCCGGAGCCTGAGCCTGGAGGTTGCGCTCTCAAAGCACAACCATTTTGCCTCTGGTAAAACTCCAGGACCATACACACCACCGGGATCTTTACTTTGGAAAAATGCATCTTACAGTGAGGCACCATTTTTAAGTGTTACGTTCTGAAAATTTTGATCCCATGATGTAGGGAAGTGGAGGAGATACGAATCAGACACATTGGAGAGGTGATAAATCTGGGGAGAAGTTGAAATATGTGAACTGCTTTTCTTAATCACCCCAGTTTTTTTGGATCTAGAAGTCCCTTGCAAATAAATGAGTTCTGGGGATGAAATGTACACCATGGGAATTACAGTTAATAATGCTCTACTGTGTATTTGAAAGTTGCTAAGAGTAAATCTTAAAAGTTCTCATCACAAGAAAAAAATTGTAACTATTGACATGTGTGATGATGGATGTTAACTAGACTTACTGTGGTGATCATTTAGCAATATGTACAAATATCAAATCATGTTGTATATGTGAAACTAATGTTATATGTCAATTATATCTCAATAAAAAATAATAAATAAAATAGAAATACCTTGCTTGGGAACATACAGATAGGGAAACATATTAAAGATAAAAGATTGCTAATCAAGTTAAAGTTTTTGAATGTGGAAATGTGACAAATTAAAAAACACAGGGAAGTAACTTTTTCTAATCTGAGGGGGGAAATATCAAGAAAGTATTAACTTCTCCCATATAACTCAGTTTGTGACAGTTACACTCAGATTTTTCCAGAATGTTAAAAGTACTTTGTTTTTTCACATTTACATATGATAGTTTTAAAACATTTCCACATATATCATCACTTTTAACTCTTATATTTACCTCTACTTGACTAAGGCTTGAAGTAATTTGCCTAAGGTCACTCTATCAGGACTCTACTCAGATCTAAAGGGTCTAATTTTTCTTCTTGCCATGATTTGGTCTCTTACCTCCCATCTGGGAGACTTCTTTAAGTTCACATTTTCCAAAATACAAACCCCTAAACTCACCAATTTCATAGACTTCCCCAATATGAATCATACCCAAATCTTCCAACCTCACCTTTTATTATCCTTGCTTTCACCACCACCCTAGAATGAGTTTAGCCAAACTGCCAAGTCTGAGGGAACAGTCTCCACAAGACTGTCCTCACTTAGACACAAGGCACAAGTTCATGGATCCCTACAACCATCCTCACTTCAGACCAGCTATTCCTAGACCAGCTAGGAAGCCCTATCCACCGCACAGTGGCTAATTTGTTAGAGCAACTCACAAAACTCAGGAAAGCACTATGCTTACAATGACAGTGTTTTTATAGCAAAAGGATACAAATTAAAATCAGCCGTGGGAAGAGATGCTTAGGGCAGATTCCAGGAGGGGTCCAAATGGAAAATGGTCCAGCCATTTTCTCCCCATGGAGTCATGGAGGGCATTACCTCCTTCCAGCCATGATATGTGACAATATATACAGATTATTGCCAACTAGAGAAGCTTTCCCAAGACTTTAGTGTCCAGAGTTTTTGTTGGAGCTCAGTCAAACTGCGCATTTGGCTGACTTTTAGTCTTCAGCCCTTCCCAGAGAGTAGACTAATGATTTCAGTCTAATTCCTCTAAAGATTGGAACTGATACAGCATAGCTCAAAGCCCCCATCATAAAGACATTCCTGTCAAGCAGGACACGTCAGGGGCCTAGAGATCATCACCTCCCAGTATCCAAGGGCAAAGGCCAGACCTCTCTTTGGGAAGAGCTAAGAGAGTCATATCCATGTTGATCCACCCCCCCACTTGCTTAAAAGGGTTACTTCGTATACACTAAGTGGAGGGCTATGCAGAGAAAGAGAGGCTACAGTTAAACTGATTACTGAAGCTGATCTCTAGATACAATGTAAAATTCTTCCTGGTACAATGTAGAACACGTGTAATAAGGAAACGTGGAAGACCTTCCTTACTTTTTCACTGCATTCTGAGTATTTGTGAGCATATGGCAGCATTCTCAGACATGCCAACATGGGTTCCATTTCTACCTGGGGCTGTGATTTATTTCCTCCCAACAGGCTACCAAAGAGCAGTACATCCAGTGAAAAGGATACTTGGTTGGGAGTCAGAATACTGAGGTCTGACCCTGGCAATGACATTGCCGGGTGGGTAACTTTGGGCTAGTCCCTTCATCTCTCTGGGCCTCAGTTTTCCCTTCTGTAGGACACATGGCTTAGATTAGAACTACCGCTGATTCTAAATTGACCCAATTTCCCCAAAACTACATAATTGGTCTTTACTGTAAAGTGGACTCTTCCTTACTGTTAGCAGAGGTACTTCATTCAAATCTCCACTTGCTTCACCCTAATTTAGTATATTAGGTCTATGTCTCAGTGAGATACATTAAGCAACTCTTTAAACCAATGATTCTCAAAGTGTAGTCCTAGGACCAGCATCATTAGAAACAGCTGGGAACTTGTGAGAAATGCAAATTCTCAGACCCCACTCCAGACCTAATAAGTCAGAATTTCTGAGGGTGGGGCCCAGCAATCTGTTTTTACAAGCCTTTCAGATAACTCTGATGCACCCTCAAGTACGAGAGCTACTACCTTAGATCATACTGTAAAAAATAAACTGTTGCATGATTTTGAAGAAAAATCACAAGAGCATAGTAGTTATCAGGTATCATGCATGGTTCTAAGTGCTATATATATTTAACTCATTTAACCCTTACAACAAGTCTATCTGATAAGTACTATTATTCTTTCATGTTATGGAAAGGAAACTGATCAAAGATGAGCATTGTGGGTACTCATATACATAGAAAATTCAAGCAATCTTCTTTCATTTTCTATGTAAGAAGTTCTGATTGTGAATATTCTGTCCCAATCAGATCATATATCAAAGTCCATGTTTTCATTTTTGGTTCAGGAACTATGAGTACCATGCCCACATAGAGCTCTACTGGGCAGCATTTTGTTAGCTACTTAATTTCTTTCTCCTTCAAGTGTATAATTCAGACCTTTTACAATTTTATCTGGCTCTTTCCTCAACTGATCAGAATACTGAGGATTTACTATAGTAATAATAATCATTATAATTAAAATAGTAGCCAGTATTTATTGAGACCCAGACCCTGTGCTGAGGGCTTAGATAATCTCCTAACAACTACTGTAGTAGGCAGGTTTTATTTTTAGCTGCAGTTTACAGAAGAAGAAATAAGATACAAAAAGTAAAGTAACTCACCCAAAGTAATAAATCTGGTGTGTGCTGGTCCTTAAACAGGTTATTGCACATTTGTGAAACAATCTTTAAGAAGTGTGGTTGTGATTCTGGGAGGTTTCCTAGATGGTTTCTTTTATTATTAAGTATTAGAAGCTTTGTGTTTATATTTTATTAATAATAATGTGGTGTCTTTATAGGTTTATAAATACTTGTTTGACCCAACTATTAAACATATGTTTGTGCAACCAGGATTACCAAGTCTTGCAAACAAATTAGCTTTTTAATTAGTTTTGGAAATCATATTTCAAAAACCCAACAGTTGTATGTTAACACTAACCTTGGAAATATTTGAGCTGATAATATCAAGACAGCTTGATATTATCACTGTCTCGCTTATCAAACCCTCTGTCTGGTTTTCCAGGAGCATATAACATAAAAATGGATGGGGAAGCAATGAGAATGACTCAGCCAAACTTATCTTTAGCAGAGATGAATAAAATGGAGTCATGAGGCTGCTTTTGACAAAATGGAGTCTGGTTGCCTGGCTATTTTAAATTCTAGAGCAACTTTTGTCTGCATTGAATCTTTCAAGGACTTCTTATTAAGTAGCCCTGTCCCCAGACTGTCAAAATAATAATCTTCCTCCAAGTGGGAAAAGTATGGAAAGCAATGCATTTGATGATCACAGAGATGATGGGTGACACGTAAAATTTCAGTATGGTAGATTGGATCTATTTGAAGAATGGAGATTTAGAACTTAATCTCTTTTTCTACCCAGGTCTGGTGAAACATTTCCTACAGTACTTGTCTCTGTTGCAATTATACAAACAGATGTGCGGTTACTAAGAGGGGAGAAGAAATATCTGGCCAGGAAAGTAAAAAGCTCTTGAGAAAGAAAGAACAATTCAAATCAATGAACATTTACTAAGTGCCAGTTATATGCAAGGCATTTCACTAGGTTTTACCATTCAGGAGAAGAGAATTAACATTGGTTCAGTGCCCTCCTATGTGGCTGGCCTTATACAAAGCACTTTATATACTTTAACTCATTTTATTCTTGCCACTATTCTGAAAAGTAGCTATCTATCCCCATTTTACAGGTAAGAACACTAAGGCTCTAAAAAGCTAAGTAAATTTGCCCATCTCAGTTTAGTAAAGGAGGAAATAGAATTCTAGTTCATATCTGTCTGGTTCCAAAGCCTATATTCATTCATTTTCACACCCATTGTCTCATTTTCATTCTACAAGTAGAGTAATTCTTTTTTTTTTTTCTTGGTAAGAACACTAGAGAAAACGTGGATGGTGTGCATGGACATTGTGTGAACAGTAATAGAACAAGGAATTATGTTCATTTGCTTTTTACCAAGTTATTACTATGTACCAGACCTATTACATATTATCTCACAACTCTATGAAGACATATAATTGTCCATACAAAGCAATGAAGAAATCAGACCTTTGGTTCGGTTCCCTGATAAATAATCCAGTGTGGTTTTCGCTCCCTCCAGCAGTTGACAGGCGTAATTACAGAATGATACATAAAGCTACAAGTATTACAAATACTAGAGCTACAGGAAGGAAATTCAGTGCATTCAAAAGTCGAACAACAACAACAACAAAAATTGTGGGCCTGGAAGTGGGCTTGCCCTTGAACTGCATTTTTGTACTTCCAAATGTCTTTAGACGATAGATAATAAATCAGCTTGCAGCACTAATTTGGACGAAACAGTCGAAAGAAGTACATCTTCATCCTTAGTGTGTACCAGCAAACAGTAGGTGTGTTCAAATTTCAATCTGTGAGCCCTGAAGGCTCTACATGATAATTTGTGCTGAGTACAAATGACCAGATGTGTCTGCCAGACTTTGATGCCCATCAGTGAAAAGATGCCAATCTTTTGATCTCTTGAATACTTGACTCCTTGGGAATACTTGAGAGTTATCGATAACATAGGCTGGATCAACGTGTAGGTCCAATAATACTAACAGAGAAAAGGTAACTGTTTCAAAATGCCTTTAGCAAACTAATCTGCAGATTATTATTGGTGTGACTATCGCTGAAACAGGTGTTGGGTTCATAAATTTGCATAGCAAAATGTTTCTCTTGTGGCAGCAGCCCGTACAATAATTGGTGCCATCTGTATTTATCTGTGGAAGTTTGGTTTCTAATATGAATGCAGAGAATCTTGTGCTAATTTCATAATGCCTATTTTATTCTGAGGGTGCTTGACTTTGGAGAGATGTTCATCATTTCTAAGGAAAATACAAATTGAAGGGAAATGTTAAAGTAATGACATTATGTTGCTTTTTCTTCAAGGATTGTTTTCATTTCTGACTACATAAAACAAAATTAAGGCCACATCTACAGAACTGCTTCTTCAGAGCAGTAAGTGGGGAAGATCCAACTAGAATGGAAAACCAGCAGGCCCTGTCCACATATTTACAATTCTCTTTTGAAAGGCACTGCTTTCACTAGAACCTCTCTTTGCCGGAAGTGTTCTGTCTTCTTACCTCTCAACCAATTAGTAGAAATCAGAGTTTGGCACAAACTTCTTATTGTATCTGACACAACTGCTTTACCAACTGAGAAAGCGGAAGCCATTTGAGTTGGAGTTTTATCTTGGATCTGTTTCTAATGGGGGAAGGACAAATAGAAAATTGTATGAAAGCTTAGTTTTCCAAAATCTGAAAGACAGTAACTGGAGCCGTCTAATGAAGCATGTCTTAGAACCATAAGGACAGTCTTTTTCAATGATCACCATCTTTAAAATCAACTTTATTGTCTCTAGCAATTCAAGCAAATTGCAAACCTTTAAGATAAATAACTGTTTTAGGTGGACTATGTATGTATTCTTTTCTTTTTAAATTTATTTATTTTATTTATTTTTGGCTGCATTGGGTCTTCATTGCTGTGTGCGGGCTTTCTCTAGTTGCGGCGAGTGAGGGCTACTCTTAGTTGCAGTGCACGGGCTACTCACTGCTGTGCCTTCTCTTGTTGTGGAGCGCGGGCTCTAGGCGTGCAGGGTTCAGTAGTTGTGACATGCGGGCTCAGTAGTTGTGGCTCGTGGGCTCTAGAACGCAGGCTCAGTAGTTGTGGTGCACGGGCTTAGTTGCTCCGCAGCATGTGGGATCTTCCCGGACCAGAGCTCGAACCCGTGTCGCCTGCATTGGCAGGCGGGTTCTTAACCATTGCACCACCAGGGAAGCCCTGTATTCTTTTATATTTTATATTCTTCTACCTCCAGGTCCATGAAGAACTTTATCAATTAAAGGAGAAATTAACAAAATTCCCACTTGAGGAAAAAGGCGAAACTCTTGACATTCAGAATCTTGAAACAGCAATCAAAAGGACTGAAATGGGGTTAAAAGTAAGTAGAGTTTTAGATATTAAATAAAATTCCAGAAGGAGACAAGGATTCCTCAAGAAGAAAAGAACTGTGCTTTTCACAGGCCCCATGTAATTCTGTAACAGAGGTGGGCCTCAGTTGGTCATCACCTTTCCCATGCTGTTCCTTTTTTATTTTTATTTTTATTTATTTATTTATTTATTGCGGTACACGGGCCTCTCACCGCTGTGGCCTCTCCGGTTGCGGAGCACAGGCTCCGGATGCACAGGCTCAGCGGCCATGGCTCACGGGCTCAGCTGCTCCACAGCATGTGGGATCTTCCCAGACCGGGGCACGAACCCGTGTCCCCTGCATCGGCAGGCAGACTTTCAACCACTGAGCCACCAGGGAAGCCCCTGCTGTTCCTTTTTTAAAAGGATGATTATTAACTGATTGATTGATTTACGTGCCACAAGAATGTGAGGCATTGATAATATATGATTATGCAGTGATAACCCCTAAAATGTGGTTTGATAAAAATCATTTAGAGTTTTAAAAATAACTACTCAGTCCAACAATATGCCTGACAAAAAAAGGATTCATACCAATACATTGCAGAGAGTTTCGATCAGATTCACCAGGATTCTTAAAAATAGTTTACTTTTCCGTAATAGCTTAAGTATTTTGAGATTAGTTATTTTTGTAATATTGTAACCTAGTACATAACAAGGGAAATAGAAAAGAAATACACCAATTTTGGAACAGAGAAATAAAGTAGATAGGGACTTCATCATTATTAGACGAATATAAGAGCATGGGAGAATCCAATCTTCAGATCAGGATAACATTCATATATAAAACAAGGATCTGTTAGCACATGGGTCCAAAGAAAGGCCATCTCCATCTTCCAGACCTCTGATGATCAGTGTCTCTGCTCTTGCTTCTGACTTTCACTCTACCATGTTATTAGCATCCCAGCTCAGCTCCTGAGGCTGAGAGATGTGGTATGTTTTGTTGCCTCATCAGACTAGCATGCCATTGTCCTATATTACGTGATGGTGAGAGGGCTGGACCCAGCTGGAGTCTTTGGGTTGGCCATTTAAAATAATCTGTTACCTAGAGGCCAAACTCTTTCCTCTGATGCTTGCCTGAATTCCCCATAAGGAGAAGACATTACTCAATGTCAGGGCTGCCTAGCAAGTTTCCCCAGCTAGGTAGCAAACTGACTATTGTGTAGGTTCATTTGTGAAGAATGCTACAGGTCACTTAAGCTTTGAGTCTCAATTGTTTATGCTGCTTTTTGGGATAAAGTAATTTGGCCTTGAGTTGCCTAATGATACCTTAGCCTTGAAATAAACACATAGCATGTTGTGCCTTTTGGCTTAATTACACCATTCCAAGAGTTAACCTAATGAAATGGAGTAAATTAGCTGAGGATCTCAAGTCCACTCTAATGGCCTAAACTTTAACTTTTCTGTAACAGATTCACATCGAGAAGTATTTAAATGTTGTACACCAACATGTTTTAACAACTCCTATTGATGATAACTTATATTCTTCTTGTGCTTCCAAATGGTAAGTAAAATAGCCATTTTAGGGTCCAAAATAAGTATGAATAAAAAAAAACTTTTCTCACACAGGTGAGATGACTGTAAACACAAAACTCCTTGGCTTTGTTCATATCCATTCTACTAATTTCAGTAGAAGTTTTGCATAAGAAGATAATGGCAAAATAGAACTACCATATGACACAGCAATCCCACTACTGGGCATATACCCAGAGAAAACCATAATTCAAAAAGACACATGCACCCCAATGTTCATAGCAGCACTATTTACAATAGCCAGGACATGGAAGCAACCTAAATGTCCATCGACAGACGAATGGATAAAGAAGATGTGGTACATATATACAATGGAATATTACTCGGTCATAAAAAGGAATGAAATTGGGTCATTTGTAGAGACGTGGATGGACCTAGAGAGTGTAATACAGAGTGAAGTAAGTCAGAAAGAGAAAAACAAATATCGTATAATAATGCATATATGTGGAATCTAGAAAAACGGTATAGAAGATCTCAGTTGCAAAGCAGAAATAGAGACACAGACATAGAGAACAAATATATGGATACCAAGGGGGAAAGGGGTGGGGTGGGAGGAATTGGGAGACTGGGATTGACACATATACATTATTGATACTATGTGTAAAATGGACAACGGATGGGAACTGTTGTATACCACAGGGAACTCACCTAGTGCACTGTGGTAACCTAAATGGGAGGGAAGTCCAAAAGGGAAGGGATATCAGTATGTGTATGGCTGATTCATTTTGTTGTGCAGTGGAGGCTGAGGCTAACACAACATTGTAAAGCAACCATACTCCAATAAAAATTAATTTAAAAAAAGATATTAATGGCAGAATTTGGACTTCAATAAAATTTATTCTCCATTACTTGTACTGCATTCTAATGCTTGACACCATGACAATTGTTTCAGGGTCCGAGTTTTGGTGTTATATATATATTTTTATTTTTAGTAAAGCATATCCAAAATTCAACTCCTAAAGGAATACTTTAAAACAAATCAATTTTTATGCTATTCAGATTATGTGGGACTTTCTTTACAGTTTTTAGCCTGTCATATGTGCTTTACTGTAAAGATGATTTTGGTATCCAAGGTAAACAAAACAAAAATAATAAAACTTGCTTGAAATATTCATTATATAATACATCCTAAGAGATGATTTATTAAAATTAGAATTGAGTTAAAGAGAAATGACCTTTCCACACACTACTATATATAAAATAGATAACTAATAAGGACCTGCTGTATAGCACAGGGAGATCTACTCAATACTCTGTAATGACCTTTATGGGAAAAGAATCTAAAAAAGAGTGGATGTATGTATAACTGATTCACTGTGCTGTACAGCAGAAACTAACACAACATTGTAAATCAACTATACTCCAATTAAGAAAAATAAAAATAAAAAAGAGAAATGACCTTTCCTTACTTTGGACCTTCTTACATCCAGGCTTCCTGAATTTGAGTGTATATAGATTAAGGTTTTGTACTCAGCTTAAAACCCCTGTGGCCCTATTTGCATCATACATGTATACCAAGCATAAGTGAATCATATCAGAGAGTGAGGTCAAGTTTCAGAGAGCACACATGGAAACATGGAAACCTAGAGACACAGCCACAACCCAAGCCTCAGGAGTGGGGTGCAGAGGCTTGGGTGTACACTCTGCCTGTCTCCCTTTCTCCCACATGAAGGTAGTACCACAGGCATCCATCATCCCTTGGCAGAGGCAAACCTTCCCTAGTCTGTCTCGTTTTTAGTCATTTACATCTTAGATTTTTAAATTTGGGAATAACAATATGACCCGCAAATAGGTTAATATACATCATCTTTTGAAATAAACAATCTGTAGGGAATATCATAAAAGGGATTCTTGGAGAAGAAAATATTGGAGGTTACTCTACCAACTTATATTGACTCAGCTCTAAATCAAGAGAGCCACACAGGGCAAAGTGGGAGGCCTATTCAGATGGCAGCCAGGAGAAAAGGGATTGAGAAGAAAATATTGGAGGTTACTCTACCAACTTATATTGACTCAGCTCTAAATCAAGAGAGCCACACAGGGCAAAGTGGGAGGCCTATTCAGATGGCAGCCAGGAGATCTGTAGTAGGTGGGGAGCGCGTAGCCAAAGGATGGAAGGTACAAACAGCAGTAAGAAAGCTCCAGAATGGAGGGGGTGGGGAAAGTAAACAGGAGAAGAGATGTCTGTCACCAACTCTAATGAAAGTTCTCCTGTCCTGTCTCCAGCTTTCTCTGCGTCCTCTCATCTTGACAAAGAACAGAGAGTCTGGGCTGTAGATCTGCAAGCTATGATAACTGAAAAGAGCAAGCTAGGTAGCAGAGAACCAAACAGAAAGATTCTGGCCAGAGACCTTTGCTTGTACAGTTCTTTTCTCTGGCCAAGGTGTACCCTTGCCCCTTTTAGGGTCTGGAAGAGTAAAGGAAGGTGTTAGTGGGGGCATTCAGCTGGCTCCCAGGAGTGGTCCTTGGATCCTTTCTTTCCTGTTCAATAGAACAATACAATCATTGGCCCTCTTATCAGGGAGATGGGAACCTGGCAAGTTTGTAGGAGCCCTACGAGCCTGGGGGAGCAACTCAGTCATAGCTGTGGATTTGGGATGCTGAAGTGGCACACAATTTGAAGATGAAATGAGGGGAGCCATGGTCAAAACTGGAGGAGTCCAAACTGGGTTTTCAAAGTAAGCGGACCCAAGGCAGGCCCTGGGAGTGGAAGTGTGAGTCACAGGGCATGGCTCAGGGCAGAAAAGGAGAAGCAGCAGATGGAAATGGAAAACATGAGACCCAGGAGCTCAGGGCCGGTTGTCTGTGACTATCATATTCCCAGGTAGATAGTCACACCTGGCTCTGCACTTGGGGCGGGGCGTTGTCCAGAGACTGTCATGAATAGACTTTGCTTCGGAGTCTGCTGTGGCCTCCCGGGAGATTATATGCAAAGCAGGTTGCAGAACCCCGAATTTCTTCAGGTTCACATGCCTGGGAGGAGCAGGACTGACCAATTCATTGCATTTTTCTTCTGAGGTTCCATGACAAACTCCTTAGGATACCCAAGTAAACAAGGAGTTTTTTCATGACTGATGGAATGACTCACTGAGAAACACGTTGCTCACAACTGATCAGGAGGCCAAAGGGGGAGACTTAGTTTCATAAAAGTTTCAAGCTGGGACAGAAACTGGACCTGGCCTTGGATCCCACAAGGCTATAAGTCAAAGAATTTGGGTGTGCACCCATAAAATGTGCTTGCTTATTTACTTATAAATTATATACTTATTATCATAGAGAGTGAATTATCAACTAACAGCAACATAGAAATGTTTCAGTAATGAGATAAAGATGAACAGTTAAGGGGGCTTCCCTGGTGGCGCAGTGGTTGAGAATCTGCCTGCCGATGCAGGGGACACGGGTTCGAGCCCTGGTCTGGGAAGATCCCACATGCCGCAGAGCAACTGGGCCCGTGAGCCACAACTACTGAGCCTGCGCGTCTGGAGCCTGTGCTCGGCAACAAGAGAGGCCGCGACAGTGAGAGGCCCGTGCATCACGATGAAGAGTGGGCCCCGCTTGCCACAATTAGAGAAAGCCCTCGCACAGAAACGAAGACCCAACACAGCAAAAATAAATAAATAAATTAATTAATTAATTAAAAAAAAAAAAAAAGATGAACAGCTAAAAAATTTCTTTTACTTTATTAACAGCACAAAACTTTTCTCTTGTAAACAGGTTATTAATTATAATGTTTTGTTTTCTTAATCTTGTTAATCATGACAGCTTTATACTGGTTGTGGCTAATATCCCAAAAATACTCTACACTTAGCTGAGATTCAGCATTGATGCTGGTTGGATGTAAGCCCATATTTTAGTTAGTCTTCTGGATAATTTTTAAGTTTGGGGGGCTTGGGGAGGCTGACTCTTCATAAGTTTGATTGGTTGATCATCATTTTTACATTTTAATATGGCTGAAGAAAAGCTAGAAGTAAAAGTGTAAGTTCTGCCATTTGCTTGTTTTTCACCAATGCTTGTTATCATTTTGTTTTGTTTTGTTTCTGTTTTTTTGCTGCATGGCTTATGGGGTCTTAGTTCCCCGACCAGGGATTGAACCCACGCCCTCTGGCAGTGAAACCTCAGAGTCCTAACCACTGGATCGCCAGGGAATTCCCAATGCATGTCATCATTATCTTAAATACAGTGTGGCTTTTCACAGGATTTTTTTTTAGGACACCTGTCCATTTTTCCAGGCTTAGTTTAGTTAAAACTAAATAATATAATCCACAAACCCACTTCATGAATAAGCTGCAGTTCACTCTAATGCTCTGGAAAAACACATACAGTGCTGACCCGCCTGTTCGTTCTTTTGTGGTTTGGAGCTTCCACTCTCAGGAGGTATCCAGAAGCACTGGTGACATGACCACATGAGGGATCCAGTGACGAACTGAGTACTAAATAGTAGTACAAAGTAATTTCTTATTTTTATTTTTTATTTTATGCATTTCTTATTATAGATAAATAGAAGTTCTTACACTCTCTTCACACGACGAATGGCCTTGTCTTATGTATCACCTGAGACGTGGGTACCCTATTTGAGAGACCACAGGTCTCGAGTGACGGTTCTTAAACTTTGGTTTGCAGTCCTCTTTCACTGGCTCCCAGATGGGCGTCCTGGAATCTGCATTGTAACAAACACTCTGGGTAATCCTCATGCAGATCATTTGTGCTTGGGATCCTTGGGACAAGCATGACTCCCTGGAATCAGTATTCTTTTGGCCAAATAGAGGGCCTGCCTCTGTGTGATCAAGAGCTTAGTCCTGGAAATTCCGCTACCCCATTGCTATGAAGGGCTAGAGCAAGCCTCTTGCACTAGGATTGAGCCAAGAGTGGGACCTGGCAATAAGGCTGGTAGGCTGGTCAATGTCTGCTTACACTGTGAGTCTGGTGGAGTGTCAGGGGCCAAACAACCATGGCAGCAACTCCTTCTGAGAG